AACTTAAAAATATGTACTCAATTGTGGTTTTCACTAGGTAGTATTCAACTAAGCAAAAATTAGTATTCAAAATAGTTGCCCCCAAAAAAATATCATAATATGTTTTTTTTAAGAAAAAAAAAAGAATCCATATATAATATAACCATTTCGAAGTTCTGACATGAGCAAGAACTGGAAAATGGACTCTATACATATACATATATATATAAAATAAAATTAAAAAAGTTGGAAGTCAAATACTGCTATACTATTTCTCCCTACCCAGTGTCTGTGTATCTCTTACAGTATATGAAGCTGAAAACCACAGCCATAATCTCACAATAAAAGTCTATTACAGGAAGAAACAGGTAAGTAAATAAAACAACACATTAATCTCTACACTTAATAGCTTAGGGTGGGGGGGCCCAAACCTTACTTATGTACAGAGATAATGGTGCTTGTGCGCCACTCGGTCCCAAGTAAGTCACTCACCTCCGTCACGATTATTTTTTTTGGTTCAGACAACAAAATAAATAAAATTGCACGAGCAATACTCTCTAATCGTACATAATTGTACAAGTACATCACTGAAATCTGCCACCAAAAAAAAAAATCAAGGAAATTTAGGTCCACTCCTCGGTTTGATTTTATAAAATGCCGATTTCAAGAAAAGCGAAGGGGGTGGGGGGCGTGATGATTAATACGCACCTCAAATGGAGATATCTGTTAAGCCATAGAGGCGTCCAAAAACTGGTGAAACCTCTGTACCCTTGCCTTGTATTTGGCAGATGATCTATCTGTTGATACATTCCTTCTCCTTCCCAATCGAATAAAGCTGTCCTCTGTGTCCAGCACATACGATATCTGAAAAAACCCACATTTGTTATCAGAAATCAGATCCCACTAGGTGGTTGTGGTGGTGGTGGTGGTGGTGGTGAATGTGATGGTAGTGGTGGTGGATGTGGTGGAGAGTTATACCTTTGATGTGGTTGCTGACATTTTACATTCCAACCCGTTCATGATCTGAACATTCTCAGTTGCCATATACAGAGCAGTAGATTCATCCATGTTGGCATACTTGCGCATATTCCTGCACGTATTTATGTTTTAATCGAATCATATTAATGTATTAAACATCAGGTTTAAAACACTTATTAAAAGGAGTGGGAATTATTAAAGAAAATACCTCTTAAGCATAACCGCAGAAGACTCCTTTTTTCCATGATTAACCGAAAGATAATCATTGTGAAGATATGCTGCGAAATTTGGATCTACAGAGACTGCAACAACTTCAGCCTTCTCATTTGCGTCGTCCATTAATTGGAACGATAAGCGGGTGGGAGATGATGTCTACAACAAAAGCATGTACAATTTTAGCATCCAGTCAATTTATCGAACAACACAAATCTATGTGCAAATAGAAAAAAATTGATTTGAATGGAAAACATACACATTCAAGCCGGTATATATTCTCGTCATGCAAAAGAACATGGACATTTTCGTAATAAACCGAGTCGATAAACTTCTCCGGCTTTCTAGATTTTTCGTATTCGTACAACTGAACCAGCTTACAGTCCACCTCTTCACTTGACACGGTTTGGAGCTGCAAAAGAAACAGAAAAAAAATGGTGTTAATTGAAATCGAGACAGTTGGAGAAAAGGTAAACAAATATAATCGAGAAGACTGCCTACCTGTTTGACCAACTTATATATCAACTTATCCAAAGTGAACAGCATGTACGATTGGTTTCCAATCAAAGATCGGCAATCGTCTTCAAATTTTGAATTATCAGAAGATCCATCAAGTAAACTAAATAGAGCACTCATGAACCTGCAATAAACACATTCACAAAAAAATAAAATAAAAAAATTTAATATATATTATATAGCTTTCAAGATATTCAAAAATTAAATTACCCCAATAACACACCTGGCATATGGATCGGAACTCGCATCCTTTGTGGTTCTCCATTTTGACTCACTCGCTGAGTTAACTTTAGCAGATAGTACTCTCTCATACAGAGTCTAAAAAAATGTAAGAGAAATTTATAAAGAATAAAAGGATGACAAATCGAAACAACAAAAAGTGGGGGAAAAAGACCACAGTTTTACCTGATGAAGCCTAAAAAGCACGTAAAAGGTGTCGTTCCCATAGAACACTCGTTTACCATTTCGCCCATCACCAATTAGTGGGGAAGCCACATGCTTAGACAGAGGCTTAGAAGTGAGCAAATAACGTTCAGATTGTGGGACCACTGCACCATCTACACCATGACTGGTATTCTCCGCCTCACCTTCACTCTCGGCTTTACCTTCAATGTCTTCTTGCTCTTCCCTTGAACACTCATCGGCTGCAGATTCACTGCCTGAAATATCTTCACCGGCCTCGGAAACATTTTCACTGTCCACGTCATCACCATCTACATTGTTTTCACCACGAGCATCTGCAACAATCTCTTCCATTTGAACTTGCATTGCTTCATTTGAATTTCCAAAATTATCCTCGAAATCACCATTAGGGGAGAGCTCGCCCTCTTCTTTCTCGTTTTTACCAGGATCGATAGAACCGTCATTGAATCCAGAAAGTTTAGGCCCTTCTACTGAGTCTACAGTTGTCCTCATTATTATATCCTGTGAAAACAAATACAGAAGGTAACTTGAGAACAAGAGGGGGAAAAAAGATTCTATAAATCATACCAATAATATGCATAGCGAAGTCATACCTCTGAGGAAGGCATATCTCCTGTTTTAGGTTTGACTTCATTAACCTCCTCGATGAGCCCATTACTCACTCTCGAAGAATCTGCAACACACCCTTGAATTTCATTGATAATTTCCAAAAATATGAGAAGCAAAACATATAAATAATGCAAAAGTAAGAGCAAGTGAATCAAATGCAATTAAACCAATCTTCACAAATAAACCTTGAAGGTTTCTTAAACACATTCGTACCATGATTAAGGCCTGGTCCTGAAACAACACCTATGTCAAGGTTAGTTAATTTTTCGCCAGAAGCCAATGGTAGTCCTTCTTTGGGCAACTTATCAACATTCATAAAATCAGGCGATGTATTAGAATCACCATTGCAGTTAGACTTTGGTTGCTCAGCATCAAGATATCCTTCACTTTTAATGTAGCCATTGTGGT